GGGGCAAAATCGTCATTTTTCCGGTCCCGGGGCGGAATTCCAATTTTCGCACATACGTGTTCCATATGTGCGTGGCCAACATAATATGGCGTCGGAATCGCGAAAACAGCCCTTTAAGCCCTTGAAAATCGACTGCAAAGTTTCGGGAATAAAATAATATTATTTTTCCAATTTTTGTCGAAATTTCAATTTTTGGCCATAACGACTCCTGGTATGCGTGGCCACCCAAAAATGGCGCCGGCCTCGAAAAATAACCTCATTTGGCCTCGAAAAGCAACGCTGGCTTCTCGAGGGGCAAAATCGTAATTTTTCACCCCCGGACCGAAATTCCAATTTTTACTCGTACTAACTCCAAACGTGTGTGGCCAGCGTAATATGACGTCAGATTCCCAAAAATAGTCTCTTAAGCCTTCGAAAATCAACATCGAAATCCGGGCCCAATTTCGTGATCAAAATTCGCTCGAGTTTCAATTTCAGGGTCTCTGGCTAACGGGCGGCTGTTTAGGACATACGCGTATCGACCTAGGGTTATTCGAATTACGACGGTCCCGATCATTGAGAGAATGAGAAATTATCATTAGTTCCAAAGGTCACGATCGTTCGGTTCAGGTTCAGGACTGGTTGGCCATGTGCACTTTCGGTCTAGAAGAATCACCTGCGATCCGATTGTACATCGTTGGCCTTGGCCAAACCAAATCCATCACCTTTCCTAAGATCGGCCCACGTTGGCCCAAAATATTCACACATCGTATCTCGAGATCGGTGTCCCGTTCACTGTCGAGTCCCTGGTCCACGTACCGTTTCCTAGTTAGCCATACCCCATTGGTTAGTATCCCGAGAGTGATCATCTCTGGGCGAGACTTACTAAAATGAAATGCGAAATATTATCAATTTTATTGATCCCGGAATTACGTCGAAATTCGGGCTGTTACAAAATTTATATTATATTATATTATATTTTTTTGTTAATTAATATTCATTCTACCATTAAAAAAAATTGGGAACACCGGGTTTATTGAATTTTAACTAATGATTCTTTTAATCTGTTTTATCATTTCATTTATTTACAAAAAAAAAATTCATTTTGATTAGGAATTTTAGAAAAACTAGATGTAGAAAACACCAATTTACTCAATAATCATTATTAGCAAGTCTAAGAAACTTTAAAGTAACCCTAATGTTTCTTTTTATCTTTTTTGTCATTATTATTTATCTATGTGACATTCTATATTTATATTTATATTTTATCTTTTTTGCTAATTAATATTCATTTTTCATGACTAAAGCGAGAGCTAATCTTGTTAACCCAACCCTAACCCGACTCGTCAAAACCATATTACCTCCGGTCATGCTTGAATCAATTCACGTTGTTGCTTGATTTAACGATTGATGTAGAAACCGTATTTCATAGCTCTCAAATTACGATGAAACAAGATTGACCGATCGAGTTGTTGCTCAGGTGGTTGATTCTGCCACGAAGGATCGAGTGAGTTGGCGTTGTGTTCACTACACTTGGCCGTGGATGCTTGGTGTAATTTTTTGTCAACGTATGTAATTATGAAATTTTACGCAAATTTTCATATCTCGCCTGGAAAATATTTCCATGTTTGCACTATATATGAGATAACGCTTTTGATTTCCCATTGAGATAAGAGATTCGATGAAGTGATTCCATATTTATCAATTCAAATCTAAAAGTGAGATATATATTGAGTTGATTAAATATTCTACTCTCTTTTTTGAGCCAACAAATATTATACTTTAGCAAGTTACTTGTTTGGATAATAAATTAGGTTAAAACTTTAACCGATCGCTATCATCTTAACTACTCATATACGATTTATATAAGTTTATCCATCATTCAAACTTCGTAACTATCAATAAGGAGGGCCATCCACAAGTTTTAGTGACATAAAAGAGACTTTTGGCCATCTTGGCGCAGGATCGGAAGTCACAACTAGTCTTTGGCTATTTTGATAGCAACCATGTTCGAGGATCAGGAGTGACGAGCAAGAGTTGCCCATACAACACATTTAAAGCATGAACCGATAATGAATTTTCCTGTACTAGAAATGTCTCGATTTATCAATGTGAAAACAGCTGAAGATGGAATAATCCATTCCCACATCAATGTGGAAAGAGCTGAATATAGTATGTATCATTTCCTAAGAGGATCGCGATTCTTTAACGTAAGAAGAAACTATTCATGCGTTACTTGTCACCACCGAGCTTTGGGTGACGCTACATCGAGCCTCGCTGGAGGCTGGCAAGGCCAGGTATGAGCTCGCTAACCCTGGATTCAACCTTCCCAACCTTGAGTCGACTGTCAATGTAGACAGAGGGACACACACACAATGTACAAGTGTGACTTTGGATCTGTTTTGAACAAGTCAAACCCTCGGGGTGAATTAGAGGAGCTGAAGAGAAAGGTAAAGCAGAGAGGTGTACTTTCTTCACTTGCTAGTGTCTGTTTGATACCGTCAGTTTCGCATGATGAATTCACTGTTTGATCTTCATATTCTCCCCCGTTTCTCAGGTTTGGTACTTCGGTCTCATCACTAATCAAAGATGTGGTGACAAAAAATGTGGGGGCTCGGGGACGTTTGTTAAGTCGTCATGAGGCATAAGGTGAGGTGGCGTTGGTGGCCCAAAGTCCTTAGAGTCAAAAGTCCAAGGTTACCAAACGATATTTGCACTAAGTGAATATCCTGTCCAAATGAAAAGTCATTAAGCCAAAACACTCCCAAATGCACCGTTTACCACTTTAGTCTGATCTAAGGCAACAAAAATCATTATTTGTCGCTTTAGGCCTCACATAAGGTGATGAAAATTCATACTTGTTGCCGCAGGTTCAAAATTGTCCCAACTACAAAGAACAAATTTTGTTGCTTGAGTTTAACTTAAGGCAACAAAACTCTGAATTTGTTGCCTTACAGTATGAACTAAGACAGCAAACTAAAGAATTTGTCGTCATTGGTTGATCCTAACGTGACCAACTTAACAATTTGTCGTCATTGGTCCAATTTTCTTAAACGCTCACTATAATCTAGCATTTCATTAGTAAACTAATCTTGTGCATTGAGATATAACTAAAGTTCCTACAAAAATGTTTAAGTTGCTTCATAATGTTCCGATAAAGAGTGCAAATTCAAGAGTTACCTCCAACTGCCTGCTTATTCAAGTGCTCATTCGTTTTCTTCTTCTTCTTCTTCAAAGGTGGAGATAATAATGTTGATGAAGGTAGCTCTCGCCTTTGGTTTCGGCATGACTGATTGGATTGATCCTCAAATGCTTCAGCTAACATTTCCCTTCATTTTCTTCCCTTTTTGGCAAATAAAAAATGACAGGGTATTTAATCTCCGAAGCACTCTTGTCGAATATGACCACACGAAACGCAGAGCCTCCTTTGTATTTGAACACCAGGAAGTGACCTAGTTTGATGGCGTAGTGCTTTGCGAAGTCTGGCCATCCTCTTTGGAGCCAAACCCCGCCGTCATTTCGCCTCACCAGCTCCACTTCCCAAGCGTCACCGCTGGCTACTTGGAGGAAGACCAAGTCCGCCACGTTGCTCCCATATTTTCTCACGAATTTCTTTGGAATTCCCTGTTGCACGATGAACGTCGAAGCACAAAAATTATGTGATAAGTGCTAGTCCTGAAAGACAAGACAAACACTTTTACTAAAGTTGGATGACTAAGCCATGTTGCATACTTAAAAAATGCATGATGGTTGAATAAAGAAAGATCATTCCATGCAAAGACCCTAAGAGAGAGAGATTACAAGTCTTCCATCTTGAAGGGCATCAGACAGAACAATCTTGAAGAAATGTGGGGACCGGGACTCAAACCATCTTCCTCCCGCCATCTCTTCAGAACTAGAAGTTTTACGCGCGCGTATGTATGCGTTTGAAAAGAGAGAGGTCTGGCTGGCAAGTGTCACAACCTACCCGTCCCGATCGGGGGGAAGAAATATGTATAGGTCTAAAGGTATTTATTGATGGATGTGAGCATTGATTGATTCGTTTGAAGTACAAACCAAATAGTTCATTAATCCAAGGACCGAGGTACTCCCAAGCCTCACACCTCATGCGATGAGAATTGCATAAACTATGTATTCAATTGGAGTTGACACTAGCCATAATCAAGGATTGACTAGAGACCATAATCGAGACGCGGGAGTGTCGTCTCGATACGTATGCAACTAGAGATTCTAAGGATTGGGGATTTAATTACACTAGTCATCTAACTAGTGTCCTTTCAATACCTAAACTTGATCGCTCGCTAACTAACGCACCAGGGTAGCCTATCGAGAAGCCTAAAGCTCACCTCAACCATGCTAAAAATGAAAAATAACAACCAATGTATTAAAGGTACGCAATCAAATAATTGGCATGAAAATAAACAATCAACGACCTAGCATCATCTCAAAAAAAAAAAAAAAAAAAAAGGCAATCAAAAGTCCTATGGTAAAGCCCTAATTGATTGTTCAATTTTTTTTGGAAATTTCCAAGGATTTTCACATTTTTTCTATTTTTCATACTAAGTCTAAAATAAAATGAACACTAAAATCTAATGAAATTAACCCAAAAAATAATTTCTAACCCTTAGCTAATTTTTCTGGACTTTTCGGATTTTTTGAATTTTTATTATTATTTTGAATTTTTTTATTTTTTTAATGAATAATAAAAGAAGATCTCGGACCGGGTCAGAGGACCCGATCCGACTCAGCGCTCCGACCCGCCCGGATTACATCCGAATTTTCAATCTTCTTTTTATCTTTTATTTCTCTCCCCTCTACTGTGCGTGGTCTTCTTCTTTCACGTACTCACCGAGAGCCCTCACTGAACATCTTCTTCCTCAACCACACCGAGACGCCACCATCTCAGACGCACCTTCGCCGGGATGCCCGCCATGCCAGACAACCACTCGGCGAAACCCCGGTCGCACGTACGTCAATCACCGCATCGCCTCCTCCCCGATGGCTATCGCTCTGGCCGACGCTGGACCGGATCCGGCGACTTTGATATTGCCGAGAACGCACATAAACAAACAACCACCGTTCCAGTAACCCAAACACATATATGCAGACTAAGGGCGAGGAAATATAGTACTGCCTGTGGCGGCCTCAAACCGCAGGCAATGCTCCGGCGAGGGGAATGGTTTTCCAGTGGAGGTTCCGTCCATGGTCGAACCGTGATGCACGAACGCCAGAAAATCACATAGAAAACGTAGATAACTTGAAGTCAGCAACAATATTAGAACGAATCGCGCATAAATCAAAGCTTTAGAGCATCGGTTTTACAAAAACGGATTCGACATTCGTTTGGGCATTTTATCAAACAGGTAGCATGCGACTTGGACCATCACACCCAAGCTTGGATTTACCATCATTCAAGCCCTAAACCTAGTATATTAAGTGTTAACTCGACATTGTTCTTCACGATTCAGGGTGGGTTTTGCATGGTTTGCTCAGAATCTCGTTGGTTGGTTCAACGTTCTTAAAAACAAGTAAGCGGAGAAAAAAAAAGGCATTTCCGGGAGGTTTACCTGGCTCGGGTGACTTCTTTGACGACGAACGGCAGCCAGCTGGTGGAGCTTTCGACGGGAACGACAGCTACTCAAACGGGCCACCGGCGAACGAGCAAAAATCTCTTCTTTTTCCGATTCTCTCCCGGTCTCTATTGTACCGAGACAAGGCAAAGAGGAAGATTGGTGCGGTGGACGAAGAAATTGCGGGCTCGTGGGCGTCGCCTGGAGGTCGTCGAATGGAGTTCGGACGTAGCCGGCCGACGGGAAACTCGACCTACTTCCCCTCCTCCGACGTCTTTCTCTCTCTGTTTTTTCTTTTACTTCCTCTCCACTCCCTTCTCCTCCTCTGGACGTGTATTCCCCCAGAGAAAGAAGATATTCCTCCGTTCGTTTGTCTCTTCTTCCGCTCTTTTTGCTTTCTTTCTCGAGGAAAATGTGCAGACCAATTTCTTATGTCCTTTCTTCCTTTTTCTTCCTTTTGACTTCTCTTTTTTTTCTTTTTCGTTTTTATTTTTCTTTAAATTTTTATAATGATTTTTTAAATAAAATAAAAAGAAAATATGTTTCACTAAATTATATTAATGTAAATGCGCATAATATTTATATACCATGTAATTTAATGAAAATATTTTTGCTTAGGATTTAAAAATAAGTTATTAATTTTTTATGCATTTAAACTTTAAATCATTAGGAAAAATTTAGATGTCAACAACAAGTTACGCTTATACCATGGAGTGAAGTCAGGGCTTTGCATCCTACGTTTTAAATATTCATTTTTTTCCAAGAGAAGGAAATAGAGGTACAATGAAAAGCGCAAAGTAACGTCAGTCATAAATGACTTGTTGACCGCTTGGACTATCAAGGGTGCGTATGATAAAAATCTATGTCCGGAATCTGATTCTGCTAAAAAATAATTCTTTTTTATTTTATGCCCGAAAACTGATTCTAAGCATTTGAAGGCGTTTGGTAACGGTCCAAAATTTCTATTCCTAGAATAGTAAAAGAATAGAAATGCATTTGGTAACGACACAAAATTTCTACTTATTACTAATATTTTAATAATATTTTTAAATATTTCAATTTTTTTATCTTCTCCTCCTTCTTGGCCATGGCTTGGTTGCTGGCAAGGGTGTCGCGGGCCTTGCTGGCCACAGGCGAGGGCGAGGGCTAGACCCTCGAGGCCTGGAAGAGGGTCGCCCTCAAGGCTGGCGGCCTGGGCGAGGGCCGCCCTCGCCGGATCCAGCAAGGGCTAGATTTTCGCTGCCGCCCTCGCCCAGGCCGCCAGCCTCGAGGGCGGCCCTCCCCGCTATCGGCCTGGGAGAGGGGCGCCCTCGCCGGTGAGGGGGACCCTCGCGGTCGCCAGCCACCGGTGAGGGCCGCCACAGGCCAGTAGAAAGAAAAGGAAAAAGAAGAAAAAAATCAAGAAAAAGAAAGAAGAAAAAAAAACTGATTCTCATTTTTGTTTCCAGAATCAAGAAACTATCTTTTTTTTATTCTTGATTATGTTCCAAAATTGATTCTGGAAATAAATTTTTGCAAATTTGTGCCTAGAATCAAAAAGTTTACCAAACGAATTTTTGCTCCCAAACTGATTCTGGAAACAAAAGAACCAAAATTTTACTATTTTATCGGTTGCCAAGCGGACCCCAAACCTCCTGCTCCCTGCATTTTTTTGCAGCAATCTACCCCCACATGCCAGAGAAAATTTGTCTCTCTCCTCTCTCTCTCTCTCACGCGCTCTGCTCTCCATCTTTGCAACCCCATGCTCAACCCCCCCTCTCTCTCTCTCTCTCTAACCATCGCTCATGCCCGACTCATGCGATCGCCTTCGGTCCATCTCCAGCGACAACTTCCCAAGATATTCAACCTCCGGGGACTCCGGAATCGTGGTCAGCCCGCCGGACTTGTCTCACACAACACAAAACCCATTGTCCTTGCCGAAACCGAACGCCGGGGTCGAGCTCTCGAGTTCGAAGGAGGCTTGTCAGAACATGAGCGAAGGTTTTAGAGAGAGAGAGCGAGGGTTGAGCGTGGCTTTGCAGAGACGGAGAGCAGAGCGCGCGTGAGAGAGAGAGGGAGGAGAGAGACGAAACCTTTTCTTGCGAAACGTGGGCCCGGATTGTCACGTGTTGAGTTCTGAGTGGTTCCTATGTGAAGACTGGGACTAGAGTTGACCGGAAACTGAGAAGGAGGTGTCGAGTCCCGAGTTGTTCTTCCCTCGCGCGTTGACTTAAAAGCTGTTTCTTCTTTTCATTGGTAACTAGACTAAGCGAGCGCTGGAACGTGCGCCCGAGCAGAGTGCAAGTTTTGGCTCCAAACATATCTCAGTGTTTGATTGGGCATGGCAGCGAAGGGGTCAGCATCGGTCCAGGGTTGACCCTAGACCGACCCTAGATCGGTCCAATCCTGCCGGTCCTGGTCCAGTTCCCAAGGGGACTGGGTCGGTCCTTGGTCCTGGGATCCCTGGACCAGCATTGTGCAGGTTGGTCCTCGATCCTAGGAGTTTAGGGTCGGTCCAACCGGGACCAGCCCTGACTGTATATATTATATATAATATATCTAAAATATACTATATATATATTATATATCTAATATATTATTTATAATTTTTTTTATCTATTCTAAAGAAAACCTAAATGAAATGGCGTGAAATAGCTCCTCACGACGTCTCAAACGGCATCAAACAACATTCAACAGGTTCCTCACGACGTCCTCCTCCAGTACTCGTTCCCTTTAGTCTTCTTTGTCCTCTCTCTTTAATCTTTAGTTTGCTAAAATCGAAAGAAAAAACTTTTCCACTCGCCGCTCAATACTCACCCCGCTCGCCTCTAGCCGCTCACCGCTCGACGCTCGCCACACAACGCTCCCCCGCTCACCGCTTGCCCTACTCGAAGCTTGACGCTCACCTCCCTTCGCTGACCTCGCTCGTCGCCGAATATATCAGAAGGAAAAAAAGCCCTAATTAGAAACTCTAACGCTTGGCTCACCCCTGCTTTCCGAACACAACTTGGCTGGTGAGTCCTACTTCGTGCTTGATTTTAGAGTTTCAACCTCATGTATGTTCTTGATTTGTGTTGGATTTTTATTTTTCCACTTTTACTTCACGTACCCGCTTATGTGGTCGTAACATGCCTTGTTGCTACAATTGGCGGTTCGATCTTAGGCTATGACATTGGAATTTCAGGTGAGACTCTCAATTTGTGCAATCAATTCTTTAACTTGTTAGCCATATGTATGTAGCGGTCTTAATCGTTTTTATGGTTTCTTGCTTTTAACGGGTGTGAAATTTCTATTGTTGCCTTATCTTAAATTTGTCTAATATGTACTGGTATTTATAGTTTGGTTGCACAACACCGCATTATCGATGGATATGTAATTTGAAATAATAGGTTTGCCTTTTCAGGGAGTACAAAAAATGAAACAAAAAAATTATCGGTAGGTCCCGAGTTGACCCTGGAACCGGACCAAACCCATTGGGTCAGTCCGGTCCTCGATCCCAAGCTCAACAGGGTCAGCCCTCGGTCCCAGGGTCAGTCCTCGGTCCCAGGCTCAATAGGGTCGGTCCTTGATCCCAAAAATTGAGGACCAATACTGTGCGAGTTGGTCTTAGGGTTAGGAGGTGGACCGGCCCAACTCGAACCATGCTTACCTCTATGGCAAAGATGTAGATTCAAGAAAACAAATAGAGTAATGCAAGTTTCATCATCCCTACCTGAATGAAGTCAAAATGGGATCCCCAGATCTCTGCTACCCAGCAAAGAAAGCTGCGCCGGAGTAGAGATGGAGCGAGTGCCCGAGCATAGAGCGAGCGAGTGAGCACCGGAGGGAGAGAGTCGAGGATGGGGGCTTTGCTTCGTCGCAGCTTCGTCGGAGCGGGGCGGTATGCTTCGTCGGCAACGGTGGAGAGCAAGGAAAGCGGAAGCAGCAACAGGGGGATGGAGTGTGTGCCGGAGCAACTAGGAACATCGAGCGAAATTTGAGAGCAAAATCACGGATTCAAAATAATATGAGAGCGAGAGAGGGAAGTGCGTTGGGTTTTCTTCTTCAAAGAAAAGAACGTAGAAGAAGAGACCGGAGATAAATGGAGAGAGAGAGAGGGGGGCACATTGCTAGCCTAGCGTGCAAGGTTAATGAGAGAGAAAGAGTATTATTTTCTGTGGCAAAAATTTCGCTGGCCCTATCGCGCTAAGCGGATCCATGTGGCGCTTCATAAGTGGTCGGAGATCACGCCAATGTGGAGCGTCAGGATCACCTAATATTTTCTTGAAAAGAAGGGCTTCTTCAACGTGAATAGTAGCTGCACGTAGGAGTATGCAGTAGAGAAATTATGGGTTTCTCTGAGTCGTAGAAGGAAGCCGCCCGAAGACTCCAAGGAAGCAGCAGCATGGTAAACTCCTCGAGATGTGAATTGAGTTTTTATATCCATTTGAGTTATTTATTTATAAACACTTGGGATTTTGATTTAATCTAGGTGTAAGAAACACTGGAATGTTGTGAGTGATTATTGTAAACTTGAATTCTTCGATTATAGTAGATTATTTGGTACTGGCTCTTCCGTGAATGTAGATACCGATATGTCGGACTGAATCACATAAATTTTGGGTGTCCTTATCGTTCCTCATTAATTTCTTTGGTAATTTCATGTTAATATAAATTGTAAGATCCGGGTTAGCTTCCGCGTTGGTTAATATCCTGTTGCTCTGTCTTTTTCTCGCTAGGGTTTTCTTTCTTATTCCGCTTTTGCGAAGTCTTTTTTATGCTTTTTGGGTTCCAAGTTGGCCATTATGGAGCCACAGTGTGCGTTGTCTTGTCTGACCTTGCAACGCCTCAGGCACTTGCTTTGTAATATACCCGTTGTCTAAAGTCTAGATGCCCACATTTGCCTCACTTTCCCCCATGTAACAATATGCACATGCAGGTTCGTCCGAGGAATAATTGACAAAAGGCATCAAAGGTTCTAAAATCATTACAAAATGTTCGGCATCATATTTCTCAACTTTCTGCCCTTCCATTAAAAGATGGCCTAATACCCAAAAAAATCTCAAACTTTAGCTTTTATCCCATTTCTACCTTTTATCTCATAAAAAACCTCCAATTTTAGGTCATGTTCTAATTCTACCCTAAACTTTTTTTTTCTTATAAAAAACCATCAACTTTAGATTCAGTCCCAATTCTACCATAAACTTTTTTTTGTTTCATAAAAAACCATCAACTTTAGATTCAGTATCAATTTTACTCTAAATTTTTTTATCTCATAAAAAAATTCCAACTTTATGTCAAATTTCAATTTCACTCTAATTTTTTTATTTCATAAAAATCTCCATTAACCCTCCGTCAAAATCGCTTTTAGGATTTTGCGCTTATCGATCTCTCATGCTTGGAAATGTTCCATCTCTCGCGGTCAGAGAGCGCTTGGTACACTCAAACAACTTTTGCTTAAGAGATTTCTATATCTTGCTTGTCAACGAGAAATTTTAGACGGAGGATTAATGGGGTCAGATTTGTGACTCAAGTAAAATTTTGTGGTTTTTTATGAGACTGTAAAATTTTTACAGTAAAATTGAGAGTGGACGGTAAAATTGGGACAAGACCAAAAGTTGGAGGTTTTTCATAGGGCGAAAAAAAGCTTAGGGTAAAATTGGGACAAGACCTAAAGTTGAGAGTTTTTTATGGAACAAAAAAAAGTTAAGAGTAAAACTGGGACATAACCTAAAGTTGGAGGTTTTTTATGAAACAAAAGGTAGAAATGGGACAAAAACTAAAGTTGGAGGTTTTTTTGGGTATTAGGCCATTAAAAGATAAAACAAAAATGCAGACTCCGTGGTTTTTTTTTGGTCGGGGACTCTGTGTTAAGTTGCCATTGAATGACGACATGGCCTCCTGACCTAACCCTCCTGAGGTGAGATCCCTAGGGGAGTTGACGGGTTGCTAAGGGGGGCGTAAATGATTCCTCTCACGAGGTGGCACCTCCGCCTAGAACATGCCTCCCAAGTCCAATTGAGCACAACTTGATTTTCACTTTCATTAATTAACTTGATTTACTTTGGAGCCTCCACTAACTTATTATGTGCCAGTTAAGAGCCCGAGTAAGATGTGGAAGCCCGCCTTACTCCTGCGCACCAAAGTTTCACGAGTTTGGGAACTTGGTTACGCTAGATGAATTTAATACCCTTTCGGTACCTTATCTCTTTTATCTAAACAATTCGCATTCGATCTATACAAATATTATTTTCCCTAAATCGTCTTAAGATGTAAAAGATGACCATGCACAGGTGCACAAGCACTAAAAATTTAAATCAAGCAACAATCGAGCAATATCAAATAAAGTACATCGAGCAAAATGAACAAGCCTTGTTGTCATTGAACCCTGGGACAGGACCCCATGAGATGTAAAAAAAAATACAATTATGCACTAATTTAAACTAGACTTGAATTATTAGACTAAATGATAAATACTAAATAATCATGAATTAATTAATCCTATAATGTGATACTCGCCTAGATGTGACCTAAATGCAATCCTAAGCTGATTTTCACATCTTTTTAATTTTCTATCAATATCGAAAACAACCCTAAACAGAGGATTGAAATGCTTCATGTTTATGAGTTAGGAAAAGCACCCAAGAAAATCTAGAATAATCATCTACAATTACCAAGCAAAATCTCTTACAATAGAGGCTTAAGCTTCAAGTTGGTCGGAACAAGTACATATGTAAAAGCTGCAAAATTCGGTTAGTAAAGAAAGAGTTAATAGATTTAAATAAGCTTTTAACTTTCTTTCCCAATGGACATGCATTGCATAAATCAGACTTTTCGTTTAATTTAGGCAAACCTCGTACTAGCTCTTTAATTGATAGCTTTAAGATTTGTTTCATTATGATATAACCAAGTTTTTCTTGCCATAAATCACTTTCGTCTTTGATAGTGATGAGAAACTTGATAGAATCAGATTCTCCGTCTAAACATTACCGTGACATCTTCCTGTAAATGTTTGAGTTTTATCTTTACTTACCCCAACGCACATACCTTCTTCAAGTTTGATCTTTAAACCTTTATCACATGGTTGACTCATACTCAATAAATTGTAGTTGAGTTCTTTGACAATTAATACGTCTTCAATGACTAAATTTCCGAGTTTAATGATCCATTTGCCAATGATCTTGCCTTTAACACATCCTCCAAAGTAACATTACCTTCATTAAAGGCCTATAAACTTGGTAGAATCTCCGGTCACATGCCTGCTAGCACCCATTGTCAAGAAACCATTTGTTATTTTTTTTTTCCTTCGACTCCTACAAGAAATAACAACTTCATCGTTTATATGGTACCCAAATGAACTTGGTCCTTTTCCGTTAGTTGATGCATCAAACTTCCAGTTGATTCTTTTTTACCATTTTTAATTCTTTTGTATATTGTTGCTTACAATGATTACGACCTCCGCAATTAGAACAATTGTAAAATTGCTTACCTACAGATTTAACAAATTACTTTCCACGATGATTTTGTATGCATAAACAAAATGTTTTTGTTTCGATCTTTCCTTGACCTTTGAAATTGGAATTTGAATCACATTTTCCTTTTGAAAAAATAGTCCATATTTATTATGATAAGAATATGTATAGACAAACTATGTTCAAGAGCTTTTGATCCAAGACATAATTTTTTGATGATCTTAGAGATCTCTTCCTTAATAAATGAACTTTTTCTTTTGTGAAATATCTAGCTCCTCATTAATTGCTGCAAGCTCAAATCTCAGACGATTTATTTTCTCTTTTTGCAAAATATCCTGTCGTTTTAGTTTGGAAACTTCTTTTTTCAATTCAAAAACCTTTTTTTATGCCTTTTTTATGCTCATCATATATTTCTTTTAAGAAATATTCCATTTCATCATCGGCAAGTTGGTATTTGCTTACCTCTACTTCCTCGGATGGAGTGTCGGCCTCTAGACATAGATTTTCTTACTCCTCTTCCTCATCATTGCTGAAATCACATTCGGTGTCGCTCCGTAATTCGGCTTTCGATGATTTCTTTTTCTTTTTCCCTTCTTTTTTCTTGAGTAAAGGGCAATCAGGCTTGACGTGGCCATGTTTACCGCACTCGAAACAAATGACGTTCTTACCTTTGTTGTCCTCTTTGTGTTTGGAGAATTTTCTTTCTTCGGTTTCCTTAATTTGCTTCTTGCCTTTTAAATTCCTACCTTTTCTCATGAACCTTTTGAATTTTCTAGTTAATAGACCCACCTCCTTATCTTCGTTGTCTTCGCCGGATGATGTTGAGTCATCTACATCTACTGTATTGGCTTTAAAAACAATAGACTTGTTACCTTATTACTATTTTCATCATTCTGAAGGTATGCCATCAAGGTTATCAATCCATCCATTAATAGAGATTGAATTCAAGGCATTTCTTGAATAAATATCTTCACGTGATTCCATTCGAAGTGCTCTTAGAAATCTGTTCACTTTCTCTTTATTAGTGTGTGTCTTCCCTTGATTGGCTAGGCCATTTACAATCTCATTATACCTCATGTATGGTATTGTGATTATCTCGTCCGACTTCATCTTGAAGATTTCGTACTTTCCAAGTAGTATCTTTATCTTGGTTTCTCTAACTCTATTAGTTCCTTCAAAGGTGACTTGAAGTTAGTCCCAGATTTCTTTGGCCGTGGTACTTGAATGTGTGTGATTGGAATTAGAAGGAGATGAACCACAATATCATGCATGTAAGGCTTTGTCATTTAAAGCTCGTATCCTAGTCAATTCCTCTGGAGTAATTGTTGCTAGCGGAGTCGTTGATTGATCGGTTGAATTCTCAGTGCCTGATGATATAGTTGGAACAGATGTCTCTCCGGTTGAACAACATCCAAACCATTTTGGATAATATGCCACATTGCAAGATCTGTCAATTAGATAATGCTTTCATCTTGTATTAACTATAATTAGTTCCATCGAAGTATGTAGGTATAATAGTAGATTGACCTTCATAGAAGTAAAATCACTTCAAATAACAAGTAACACAGGCTCTGATACCGATTGTTGAGGCTAACTATGCAACATAGAGGCGGTGAATAGGTTGATTTACAAAACTTAACAATTTTTTCGCGGAATAACTCAAGTAAAGTTTGATAAATGCGGGAAAAATTCGATAATATCATATGTAAGATGCTTCTATCAGATAAATGATGAACTAAGTAAAGAGTTAGAAGATGATGCACGTAGATTTTACAATTGGTTCGGCTTATGTCAAGCCTACACCAACTCTCCTAGACTAATAGCCACCAATCCCCAATAATATTGTAAGTAGTTACAATGAAACACGTGTTGCTTCCACCCAAAGCTGATAGATTCCATTATCAATAAATAAGCACCGCCAACACACTTGTATATTCTCCAGATTATGGATTGTAGTGAGTACTAATAACTTGCATAAAAGTATCACAAAGTGAATAAAATCAAGCTCGCAATACACAAAGAAAAAGTGACTATAAAAACAGGCTCGCACGACGCACACAAAGAAAAAGTGACTATAAAATCAAGCTCACAATACACAATATTATATCACAAGGGAATAAAATCAGGCTCTGAACGTTTTTTAGAATTTTTTTTTATTTTTCTAATTTTTTTTTCCTTTTGTCTTTCTTTTTTTCTTTCATTTTCGCTGGTGGTCGGTCTCAGGCTATGGTTAGCCATTGGCCATGTCCGGAGAGGACTGGGCAAGGGTCGCCCTTACCAGATATGGCAAGGACCACCCCCGCCGGCGCCTAGGTGAGGCGACCCTTGCCCTACCCGGGCAAGGCCATCCCTCGTCTGTGGCCGGCGAGGGTATCTATTCTCTAGTTAAATAGTTAATGAGAATTACATCAGAGATACGAAGAAGAACTAAAAAGATTAGATTTAGCATTTGCAAATGTAATTCCTAGGAACGAATGTTATGTATGTGAATCAACGGCCCAAGCCCAAAACAAAGTCTCGAGTCCTCAACCCGACAACACACGCGAGCGCAGACAGACAGAGAGAGACAGAGAGAGACAGAGATGAAGTTCACGGACTCGCCGGTGATCGAGCTCCCGGTGGGCGACGCGCGCCTCTCCCTCCGGCAAGACAACGGCTCCATGCACGTTGGCACCTCCGTCTGGCCCTGCTCCCTCGTCCTCGTCAAGTTCCTCGACCGCTGGTCCCGGCCCGACCCGGCCCGCCGCCCGACCAACCCCTACGCCGACCTCCTCGACTTCAGCGGCAAGCGCGCCGTCGAGCTCGGCACCGGCTGCGGGGCCGCCGGCATGGGCCTCTACCTCCTCGGCCTCGCCGACATCATCCTCACCGACATCGCCCCCGTCATGCCGGCGCTCCGCCACAACCTCAGGCGCAACAAGCCCGTCCTCCGCAAGACCCTCAAGACCTCCGTCCTCTACTGGAACAACCGCGACCAGATCAGATCCCTGAACCCGCCCTTCGACATCGTGGTCGCCACCGACGTGGTGTACATCGAAGAGACGGTGGGGCACCTGGTGGAGGCGATGGCGGCGCTGGTGAAGAGCGACGGCTTGGTGCTGCTGGGGTACCAGCTGAGGTCGCCCGAGGCCGATAAGCTGTTCTGGGAGCTGTGCGAGGAGGTGTTCGTGAAGGAGAAGGTGAGGCACGAGGATTTGCATCCCGAGTACGCGTACGAGGAGGCTGATGTGTTCATCCTTAGGAAGAAGAAGGACAAGGACAAGGACAGGGAGGACGACTTGTAAGTTCTTCTTGTTCTTTCGGAGATTCTGATACTTCTGTACTTTGCTTGTTGTTACGATTTTCCATTAGTAGTAATACGCGATTGTGCATCGTCGGCTAGAAATATTGCAATGGTGTGTAATCATTCGTAGATGGATAATGAAAACAGTGACTTTCTTCTGTCTAATCTTGTTCTCATGAATTTTTGGATTGCCTATTCTCTGAGTTCTTCTTGGGGACTTATGTGGTGGTTTCGTCTGATTGCTGGATCGTTGAAGTTGAAATGTTGGGTGCGTTCAGTTTGATTCAGATGAGTCGATGGCTTCATTCCCTTGGCGTCCTCGAGTCTTACTTGGCAAAAAAGGCGTGCCTTGTTTCAGAAAACAAAGACCAACCTATGTATGAATGTATAAAGTTTGACATGGTTAATGCATATCTCGCTCCGAACTACTTTGCAAGTGAATCATCTGAAGCAGAGTTCTCTGATAATTTTCTTTTGGGGTTGGAAGAAAGCAATGACTCTAGATGTTGATCTTGCATCATGTGACTTTGTAAGGGATAATTGCAGTCGTTCTCCCTGAAACGTTCTCTCTTCAACTATAGTAACCTTATCATCTTTCCCGGTTTTTTTTCATCTTTTTCCTTTCTATAGAATGTTAAAGTCTTCCAGTTCGAACAATCTGTGCTTTAGTTGAAAAGAATCTGTAGGAGTTCAGTGAGTGCAGAGTGTAGATTGGCAAGTGAAATAAATCCATGTAGAATTGGAACTCTTTCCTGATTGTGCAATGCCCATTATGTCTGATTCTTGAAGCCACATCCTTCGATCCCATAATCCTTGCTCCATAGTCCTTTTTGTTATGGTTGATCCTTTTAATGAGATATATAGATATAGAGTAAGCTAGATTGTATAAAAGTAGCTAGTACATGCCTGCTAATTTTGCTGACTGCACATGCAAGTCTGGAATGACTTTAGCATTCAAATCATCCCGTGCTTCAGAGAAATTGATGGATCCTATACATAAGCTATCTTGTGTTTTCCCTGATATTTTTTAGTCTTGTGAATTAAACATATCCTAATCAGTAGTTTGGTGAGTTGAGCTCTGGATTGCATGTGTTTACTTTGGTGGTGAATGGTTATCACAGGATGGATTGTGGGAAGGTAGTGAAAATGTAGTGCCTGGTTGAACTATTCATATTTCGGTAGGAAGGTCTCCTTTGGAATTTTCATGTCAAGTTCTGAAAAATGAAAAGGCAGATAGAATATCATCTGGTGTTGGTGCTCATGCTGCCAATTTGCTGCGATAAAATTTCGATTCTCACGGACTGTCTGTTATAAGGTCCTAGTGCCAACGAAAGCCAGCATTCATGTGATGCCTTAGTATTGATGGAGGTAGTACCTGGATAGAGATGCACAGATGAACCTATGGGGTGTTCCGCCTTGGTGTCTAATTCAATCTCAATCGATGATGAAAGTCATGAGGTCATAAATCAAATTTTACTGATGAAATGGCGGAAATGGTTATCAAATGTCTTATTACCGGTGGTGAGCCAGTGATATCATCTTAGTATTACAATATTTTCACCTTTTCCTGAATGTACTTTTTCATTCTTTCTCATAAAACTAAGCTCTACTTGAGTAACGCTAATCACTATCATGGGGGAAGATGAACATTGAAAGGGTTGAAAGAGTAGTGACGGGATGTAAATGTTGATTTTTGAACAAAAGAAAAACAAAAGCTCCTACAAGAATTTGCTCCTGATTCAGGCCCAAAATAAGAGTTAGATGGGACTAAAAGAATATTGACCTAAGAAAAAGTGAAAGCTTGGACGTTCAGCTTGGGGTTGGGCTGGTAGTTGGTCCATTGCCACTCTCTCTAGGGCTGCATTACCATGATACCCCCACCGTAAACCCCCACTATTCTTTTTGGCATCACCATGAGCTAAGATCGTCTCTGTGGCTTTTTGCTCTGAAACAATCGTAAAAACGTCAAGACCACCATTCAACAGAACATTGGGGGAAAAAAATTATGATGATTTTGATTTTGAATACTGCCCCCCATCACAAAGACAGGTGACCATTGTGGGGAAGAAAAATGTATGTCTGATAAACATTGGAATTGACTATGATTGCTTTCCTGAACTCAGATACATAACTGTCTGTCTGTTGTTGTAAGCTACCATTCAGCTGCAGTCATTACCACAGCTTTCATGTTTCTAAGTGAGATCAAATCACCGTGTCTCTGTGAGAAGATCTGTAAAGAGTGGTGTTAAACTAGTCATATAAAAAGTCCCGAAGAGCAACCATAGGGGATTTCATTATGAAGTAGTTATGGACATTTGCATGCGTTAGTGCTAATGGCTTCCTTTACAAAAGTCGACCTGCAGCTTAGTCTCGTCCAGGACAATTTGGGGACCGATGCACAAATGAAATCATTAGTAGTCATTAGTCAGAAAAGCTTAAATGTCCACTATGAAGGTACTTCCTGATGTTGCGCAGAGGAAGTTCGTTGCAATGGTTGATAATGTTCAATTGTTTTTCGTTATAGCTCGAGTTATTGAGTAGCCTAGCCTAGGCTTATGTGCTGCTCCATTTTCTTTGTTAACTACTACTATATTTCTTTGTCAGAGAGGAAAGAGGCATCAAGTCCTCAGATAGATTAGTCGAGCATGTCATCGATTGGACATGAAAAATTGATCAGGTTCCCTTCAATTTAATCCATTATCTTGCCTATCAACTTTGCTTCACCTCTGTCTTATCCTGTTCCACACGTGAGTCTCTGTCGAAGTAATTTTTCTTTTCCTTTTATGCCCAGGTAGGAGAACGATGAACTCATCCCATCATGTCGCATTCATCAAATTGCTATAGCTTTTGTGCATCACATACCTCATATATGTGCTTTTCTTTATGTATATATAGGTACGGTAGTAAGCAAGTTCTTCGAATTATCCACTATTCCCATACACAGGACTGAAAAATTATACTTAGACCAACTATGCAAGAAGGCCAAGATCATTTGCTAGCCCTCCTAAACAACCAAAAGTCCGGACCCAGAAGGCCTTGAGAAAAACCCTAAAAAGGCACAGAAACTCTCTCCAATCTCCTTCCCACGGGCACAACTTTCGTCTTCTCGCTTCTCTCTCCAGTTTTCAATAACAGAGGCCAATGCACCAGCTCTCACAATGACATCCTCACCATTAGCCTTCTTGCAGTCTCTGCGATTGCAGTTCCATTTTATGCTTAACTGATAGTGTGAGGGACGCAAAAGGCAAAGTCCGGTATGGATTTGCCACGACTAAAGGGCTGTGGGTGATTACTGCGTCGGTGAAGCTCTCACATGCTGATGCAGAGAAATATAAGTTGAAGGTGATCGACTTTTTGCATGCATTCATGTCGGCGCTGGTCTTTGCGGTGGTTGCGTTTTTTATCAGAATGTGATAAAGTGCTTCTTCCCAGTGGAGTCGGAGCTGGCCAAGCAGATCCTAGAGGCGGTGCCTCTGGCGGTCGGAGGTGTTTGTGCCGTTTTATTTTTGCTGTATCCAACCACGCGCCATGGAATTGGCTTTCCTCTTTCACATTTAAGTAGTAGAACCGGTAACAATATTATCATAGTACGTTCGATGCCTCACGGTATGTGCATGTCTTGTACCTTACTCCATGGTTCATTTGTGATCTATGTATCTCATAATATGTATGTATCGCTTCGAAAATTTGGTGCTTCTCTTTTATACGTATAATGCAATGTAGCAGAGGACAAATGAAGCTGGAGGGTATACTTAGCAACAACTGAGTCACCATATCTAATCTTCATTGATTCTACGCTGGAAATTTTACGATGAAAAACCGACTACCCGTCTATTTTCTTAAGCAAAAATAACCGTACGGATTAGCGTGTCCTGATGATCCATGCAGTGTAAAGTCATTTACTGCTAATTCCATCACTCACGCTGAACTTAACTTCTCAAACATGTACTGCCGTTTGAATTACTACAAAATAAGTTACGCATACTTGCATCGATACATAATACATCATTACATACGTACAGATTACAGCATCAACCGACGGGATGCTAGTCTGCTTGAATTTGCAGATATTGCCTCTCAGACACAACCAAAACTATCATTTTTCACGTCGAAAGAACTTGTCTGAAACTCTCAATTAGGACCATAACCTAAGTATACCAATAAACTAAACCCCAAATTGCTGCCAGAAAGAACATCCCGTGTAATTTCTCTGATCTTGCAATACCAAGCAACTTGACCTAATATTCACATTAGCTCGTTTGGACTCCATTAGCTACATCTTCTCAAACACCCAAAAGTTTCTTGATTCCAGCTTTCTGCTCCGATGTCAGCCTCCTTAGGAACTTGATGTTAAACTTGATCCTCAAGTTACCCTTCTTTGTCAGGTCCTTCTGAAGAGGCATCCCCTCCTCCCTCGGAACTACCTCCTCATGGTTCGGATAGATCACATTGTTGATTGGGATGGTCAAACTCCCGCCATCTAAGGTTGTGAGATGGACCGTGAGGCCTGTCAAGGCCTCAGCCAGGGATGTATTTTTCGTGATGATCAAGTCGCCTCCATTGCGGGTGAACACACTGTGAGGCTTCTCGTCAATTATGAAGACGAGTTCGGCTGGTAGGACGTTTGGCTGCTTATTGCCTTTCTCAGGGAAGGTAATTCTGGTTCCCTTCTTCCAACCTGGCTTTATGTCGATGTTTAAGATCTCCTCTACATGCATAGTTCTTCTGCATCAATCCATAACATGCAAAAGTCAGAAGGATAGATCATGGGAAAAAAAAACACCAAGGCTAAGTGGATCGCCTAAGTTCAAGACCTTCACACAACGAAAGGCCACCCCGAAAAATCATCATACAGGGAGCTCAAAAACCTTACACATTTCCAATAGCACATGGTCTACATTTAAAAACCTAAGAAGAAATTATTTTTTGAGAGCAGGAGTACTCATGCAACGATGCCTATTCGAAGCTGAACATGTCGCATAAATCTGTCCACATAGACTCAACATGTGATGTGATACTCTTGCAAGTTCTGATCAGAAGTTTGTAAGTTGCCAGCCTTTACAATTCATAGTCCCAGTTACTCTAACATGGAGCATAAGCCTCTAGCAGAGGAAACAAGACAGCAATACTTCCTTTCGAACGTTCCCAAACTAATCCTCATGCATCTGCATGCACAAATGCTTGCAAGTAACTCCTCCCGCACAAATTCTGGTTTATTCAGGATATGCAAGAATATCAAAACAACCAACAGATGCAGAGTTTCTTGTTTGCGAATAACGTGTCATATTTGCATCATACAATTGCAAAAAATGCAGCCATTCCCGTAAAAAGTTAAGAGTGGCAATAAGAACATGTGCCACTCAGCAATTGCCATTTTATTCTTTTCAATGATGTATGTTCATTCCTAAAGGCAGGGATGTCTTTGGCTACAGACACCTATTTAACTGGTTCTCAACTATATGGAATCATATTGGCAGCATGTTCAATACCAATCCATAACAGAAAGTTCATCGACAACAAGAGATTGCGGCTCCATGCTAAAATGATGACCACTAAACATCGAAACCTACATGTCCACGCTACATATCCATGGCAAAACACCTGTACGAAATGTGTTTTTAAACGTATAGTAACTAGTAAATACAACTCTGTGCAGTGGCATAGAAAACATGAACTATCTACATAAGGTGCATAAACCAAGTAAAGTAATATTTCAATTTATGTCAAAACTACAGCTATTCAGCCAAAAACTTCTTTATGATGTCACCGATGACAAAATCTTACTACTCAAGGATTAACCCTGCCAAGGTCCCGGCCACCCAATATGTAAGGTAATGTTTAACAGAAAATGTTAGATGAACCCAAGCAATCATTTATGGGCCGCACCAAGCTGCATTGTCTCATCTATGAAGAAGGAAAAAAAAGTAGGCAAACCAACAAAATGATCAGCCCCGGACACCGCCACATAAATTTGAGGTACCTCAAGCGCATGAGGCTAACAAGGGCACTGGCACAAAATTGTCTCCGTTATTAATTCTTTCCTTGTTGAGCCCATTGTCTAGTTCTTAGTTCTATCCAAAAAAACGATCGAGTAGCACTGGACATTTAATGCATTCTTAAAATAGTTTCCAGCTTTCAGTTATATCCTCTCACCCTATCCTATAGATGAAGACATGGTTTCTCTCAATCCTATTGAATTTCATTCGGAGGAGGAATCTTATAAAGATTGTATTGATTCTTATCAAAGAAAGACAGGATTGACCGACGTTGTTCAAATAGGCACAGGTTGACTAAACGGTATTCCCATAGCAATTGGAGTTATGGATTTTCAGTTTATGGGGGTAGTATGGGATCCGTAGTAGGCAAGAAAATCACCCGTTTGATCGAGTATGCTACCAATCAATTTTTACCTCTGATTTTAGTGTGTGCTTCCGGAGGAGCACGTATGCAAGAAGGAAGCTTGAGCTTGATGCAAATGGCTAAAATATCTGCTACTTTATATGATTATCAATATCATAAAAAAGTTATTCTATGTATCAATCCTTACATCTCCTACTACTTATGGGGTAACGGCTAGTTTTGGGATGTTGGGGATATCATTATTGCCGAACCAAATGCTTATATTGCATTCGCAGGTAAAAGAGTAATACTAATCCAAAAGGCGTGTATTTCTAATGAACAAAGAAAAATACATTTTTGACAAACTAACAAGTAATTTCTTTAAATGAGATAGCCTCTCAGACTTACCCGCTCATTTCAACAATCTCCCTGGAAATCTTCATCTTCTTGGTAGTCCCTTTATAGAGGTCTTCTAGACTACAGGGCAACCTGTTCTCAATAGGAGGAGCTTTCCTGGGAGCTGCTTGGTACATTGACCCTCCTCCGCCTCCTCCTTCTGTTAAGGAGCTAAAGAAATCATCCCCAAAATTACTACTCGAGGACCTTGACCCTCTAATTCCACCACCGCTGCCCCCACCCATGCCTCCCATGCCGACAAAGGTGTTCATGAAATCGAAATACTTAGCAAGATCGTCCGCGTTTTGGGGGTTGACCCGGGACGACGTTGGCCCCTCTTCTTTTGAGAAGTAGGTAGCGCCACTAGGGCCACCGGCATCAGATGGTGGCACTCGACCCTTTAGACCCTCCTCGCCATACTGATCATACACTGCTCTCTTCAAGGGGTCACTGAGGACCTACAAGCAATTCAATTGAAACAACACTACCATTCTTCACAAGCTAAAATTTGTCATTAATGTGCAAAACCATCAAAAGCAATAACATCAATTGTCTAGGTGCATGAATCATACTGTCAGATATTCAATCTAGAACGAAATTCGCATCGAGAGAGACTTCAAATGCCAACTTCAATCAATCCCAACAGTGAAGCATACAAAATTAACTTCGAATCAGTCTCATCCAAAAACATTAGAGGTCCTGACTGACGCCGACACAAATAAAAAGGAATCCACCAATCAAAAAGGGGAAAAAGAACTTGCTGGAATCGAAACAAGCAAACAGCAATATTGCAAGAACGACGGTTGTCACCTCATAAGCCTCAAAGATCTTCCTGTAGGCGGCAAAAGTACACTAGAAGTGCCATAACTTGTGTACGGCGATCACTTTGGTGTCATAACTTTTTTTGGGATCACTTTGGTGCCAACTTTTTTGAAAATCGATCACTTTAGTGCCAATGCTGACGTGGCTTGCCGGAAATCCGATGTGGCGCTGACACGGCTCGCCAGAGAGGTCCACGGCTCGCCGGAGAGGTCCAGTCAGCATTAAAAACCAAAAACGACGCCGTTTATCCCGCTGACGTGTACTTTTTTTAAAAAAAAATTAAATTATATTTTAAAAAAAAAAACCTGCAGCAGCGGCGAAGGAGCCCTCGCCGCTGCTGCCGCCAACCCACCACCGCCGGGAAGGGCCGGTGGTGGTGGGCGCAGTGGTCGGCGAGGGCCGGATCCGGCGAGGCGAGACCTCGCCGTCGCGACCCAAGCGACGGCGAGGTCTAGCCTCGCCTGGGTCGCGACGGCGAGGTCACGCCTCGCCGGACGGCGAGGCGAGACCTCGCCGTCGCGACCGAGCGACGGCGAGGTCTCGCCTCGTCCGGCGAAGGCGAGGCCGACCTCGCCGTTGCGACCCGAGGCGACGGCGAGGTCTCGCCTCACCCGAGAAAGGCGAGGCCATACCTCGCCGTCGCCTGGGTTGCGACGGCGAGGTCTCGCCTCGCCGGATCCGGCCCTCGCTGGGCTCGGCGAGGATCGTCGGGCCTCGGCCAAGGGCCGGCGACCCTCGCCGACCACTGCGCCCACCGCCGCCAGCCCTTCCTGGCGGTGGTGGGTTGGCGGCAGCAGCGGCGAGGGCTCCCTCGCCGCTGCTGCAACTTTTTTTTTAAAAATTAAAAAAATCGAAAAAAAAGCTACGTAATTTCCACCGTGTACAAGTCAGACCATTTTTTTTAGTATAAATGCCAGGTCAGCTTTTTGGCCGGAGTCACTAAAGTGATCGATTTTCCTCCGATTTGACACCAAAGTGATCCGAAAAAAAATTATGGCACCAAATGATCGCCGTACACAAGTTATGACACTTCTAGTATACTTTTACCTCCTGTAGGCCTTCTTCAAGTCGTCATCTTTGGCACTCCTATTAACCCCTAATATCTTGTAGTAATCCACCCCCATCTTTAACCCACCAATCCCCTTTCTTGAAGGTGAGAGCTATACCAGGCGGTTCTTATGTCCAAACAATCTGTGCAAGCTAGCCTCGCAAAAACAAAAAAAGAGAGAAAAACAAAAGAAAGAAAGAAAGAAAAAGGTCGCAGCTTTGAATTCAATGTGAATGTAATGTTCGTAGGTTGCGTCGCGTGATAGAATTGAGAATCCGTTCCGTGTCTTTTATGTCTATTACATTCTACCTCATCGTATCATATTCTGTTCTTCGATATATGAGAATCACCATTAATGTCAATGTCTCGGTGTAAGTCTGGAATAACCCTTTATTCCATGTCAATGTCTCAATCTTATCGGTGACGTCCAATGTTGCTCTGATTTCCCTTCCTTTTACGACCCGATACTTTTTCATACGCAAAATTCTAGTCCATTGATAAACTTTCCCATGAATACTCAGGTCTTCGCATTCCTCTAACCACAAATATTCAAGCGAAAAGAAGCAGTACACACGTGGTTTTCACTTCCAATGATGATCAATCAGCGATCAGTGATCACTCGTCTTGGTGCATACCCCAGCAGCTAGATTCTTCACGACCCTCCCTTGATTGCATGGAATGGGATCGAAGAGCGATCCGTGTCCGAGAAGAGAAGAAAGCCACTGATTTTGCCTTTTCTTTTAGAAAACAGTGCAGTAAAAGTCATGACAGCTAGTTTCCCACTAGTTCGCACGTTTCCTTACGTGAATCTTTGTCCTCGCTGTAGCTCATAATCTCTTTGTAGGTTGATCATCATCTTCAGGTTGCGATTTCTCGAAAAACCCTAACGGAAAATGTAGCAAGAAGAGCAAGTCCTGAACCGTCGCACCGCTTAGGGCTGAATAAGAAACCTTGTCCTTGTACTACTTCTCCTTCTATCACAGACATTGTCACAAACATGTGTATAACTTAATAGATCCTCTTTGCATTTTACTGCACTGATCTATATATGCACGCAAATCCAACATATTCATGGAATGAAATCTTTTAGTGCTCTTGGAAGATCACGTCGTCCCGCCAACCTAATCAAATACTGGGTATAAAATGTCAAGCCCATAACAATACGATGCATAATTTTTTGATTAGGTGGATAGATGACGTGTGTGGTACACTCAGAGCATCTAAATACCTCTCTGAATCTATCTCAATCCTTGTCGACACTTGCGGTATCCACACTAATCCCTTTAACTATGCATGGCATATAGCTTGGACATTAGATACATAAAGGATATCTATCTTTTTACGGGAAACCTAAACATTTTAATTATGCTAATTGAATCATAAACCTTTTTACGTTTTACCAATTTAGTCTATATGGCCAATTTTGGCAGAAAATCGCTAACGTGGACTCCAACCGTCCTATATGGTACGGCCGGCGCTGACCTGAATAATTTTTAATAATATGTTAATATATGTTTCTAATTTTTTAATTTGTCTATCTGGCCAATTTCGGCAGGAAATCGCTGACATAGACTGCAACCGTCCTACGTGACATGGCCGGCGCTGACGTGAATAATTTTTAATAATATTTTAATATATGTTTCTAATTTTTTAATTTTTCTTTTTTTTTCCTTTTTTCTTTTTTTCTCTTTTCCTTCTTTACTTTTTCTCTTTTTTTTCCTACGTGGCATGGCCGTTCTACATGGCACGGCTGGCTTGGTGCTTCGTGAAGGAGAAGGCAAGGCACGAGGATTTGCACCCTGAGGACGTTGTTTTCATCTACTAATTGTTCTAAAAGCTTAAGTTATTAGACAAATGCGAGATTTAATATTTAATTATTATAACACTCCCCCTCACACTTAGTCTGGTCTTTTTACCTAATACTTAGTGTGAATATATTTAATTAGGGAGGCAAATGGGGTCTGGAAAGATTTGAACTTATGACGTCTAACTCTGATACCATGTGAGATTTGATAGGATTAATGTCAACTATTCTAAAAGTTTAAGATATTAGATAAATGTGTGATTTAATATTTAATTATTCTAACAGACAAGAAGGATGAGTTGTAAGTTCTTTTTGTTCTTTCGGAGATTTTGATAGTTTTGTGCTTTGCTTGTTGTTACGATTTTCCATTAGTAATACGGGATTGTGTATCGTGGGCTAGAAATATTGCAATGGTGTGTAATCATTCATAGATGGATGATAAAAATAATTACTTTCTTCTTATTGGATTGCCTATTCTCTGAGTTCTTCTTGGGGACTTATGTGGTGGTTTCGTCTGATTGCTGGATCGTTGAAGTTGAAATGTTGGGTGCGTTCAGTTTGATTCAGATGAGTTGATGACTTCATTCCCTTGGCGTCCTTGAGTCTTTCTTGGAACAAAAGGCATGTGTTGCTTCAAAGAACAAAGACCAACCTATGTTTGAATGTATAACATTTGACATTGTTACTCCATATCTCCGTCTGTATTACTTCGCCAGTGAATCATCCGAAGCAGAGCCCTCCGATAACTTTCTTTCGCGGTGGGAAGAAACCAGTGACTCTAAATGTTGACCTTGCATTATGTGATTTTGTAAGCGATGTAGTCATTCTCCCTGAAATGTTCTCTCTTCAACTATAGTAACCTTGTCATCTTTCCCCGATTGTTTTTCATCTTTTGCCTTTCTTGTAGAATGTTGAAGTCTTCCAGTTCAAAAAATCTATGCACTAGTCGAAAAGAATCTGTAGGAGTTCAGGGAGTGCAGAGTGTAGATTGGCAAGTGAAATAAATCCATGTAGATTTGGAACTCTTTCCTGATTGCGCAATGCCCATTATGTCTGATTCTTGAAGCCACATCATTGGATCTCATAATACGTGCCCAATAGCCCTTTTTGTCATGGTTGATCCTTTTAATGAGATATATAGATATAGAGTAAGCTAGATTGCAAAAAAGTAGCTAGTACATGCCTGCCAATTTTGCCGACCGCACATGCATGTCTGGAACGACTTTACTGTTCAAATCATCCTGTGCTTCAGAGAAATTGATGGACCCTATACATAAGCTATCTCGTGTTTTCCCTAATATTTTAGAGTCTATGAGCGAATAAAATGTATGCTAATCAGACCCACCTGCGCATGGCCGAGTTGGTGGGCGCTTTCCTTTCCTCCTCAGAGGTTCTGGGTTCGAATCCCCGCTCGGTTCCGTAATTTAAGTGGGGGGCCATGGCAGTGGGTTGCCGAGCTAGTCTCCCCCGAGGTATAGGCGCTCTGATTACCCGTGCAGGCTCGTCCCCGAGGAATGGTGGCGGATCCTCGGTTAAAAAAAAAAAAAAAAAAAACGTATGCTAATCAGCAGTTTGGTGAGTCGAGTTTTGGATTGCTTGTGTTTACTTTGATGGTGATTAATTATCACAAGATTGATCATGGGAAGGCAGCGAAAATGTAGTGCCTGGTTGAACTATTCAGATTTCGCTGGGAAGGTCTCCTTGGAATTTTCTTCTCAAGTTCTGAAACGTGAAAACTGAAAAGGCTGATAAAATATCACATGGTGATGGTGCTCGTGCTGCCAATTTGCTGCGATAAAATTCGATTCGTACGGACCGTACTGGTGACAAATAAAGCTAGCATTCACGTGATGCCCTAGTATTGACGGACGTAGTACCAGGATAGAGATGCACAGATGAACCTATGAGGTTCTCCGCCTTGGTGTCTAAATCAATGTCAATTGGTGATGAAAGTCATGAGATCATGAATGTCGTCAAATTTTACTATTGAAATGGCAGAGTAATCATATTCTGGAGAAAACATTTACTAGAGAATTATTTTGGCTAGGCTAACAAGCAAAAGATCCAGTTGCAAATTAGAAAATTTTTGCCTCTTCACTCTTCTTCAGCCAATTCATTATGTATACCAAGTAAAACATGCAATAAAATGGAAAGTTATTCCCGAGCCTGCCATGGGGCACGAAGCTAAAGTACTTCTCAGAGTAGCTTCTTTGAAGGTTTAATGGCAGTGTTGATACTATCTTGTGCAGGAGCATCAGTTTTTCATAAAACAGGGATTGTCAAAGATGATGATAACTCGTCTTGTGAATAATAAGCAGAAATGGTAATTGAATGTCTTATTATGCGCGGCGAGCCAGTGATATCATCCTAGTATTACAATACTTTCACATTTTCCTCAGGGAACTTTTTCATTATTTCTCATAAAATTAAACTCTACTGAAGTAACACTGATCACCCTCAAGGGGGAAGATGAACGTTGAAAGGGATGAAAGAATAGTGATGGGATGTAAATGTTGATTATTTGAACAAAAGTAAAACAGGATGCTCTTACAAGATTTTGCTCCTGATTCAGGCCCAAAAGTAAAAGTTAGATGAGACTAAAAGAAAATTGACCATAGAAAAAGTGAAGGCTCGGACGTTCAGCTTGGGGTTGGGCTGGTAGTTGTTGGTCCATTGCCACTCTTTCTAGTGCTCCATTACCATGATTCCCCCACTAAAATGTCGAGGCCACCGTGCAAGAGAACATTGGAGAAAAACATGATGATAGTTTTGATTTGGAATGCTCTGCCCATCACAAAGACAGGTGACAATTGCGGACAAGGAAAATGACGTCTGATGAACATTGGAATGTACTATGATTGCTTTCCTGAACTCAGTTACATTACTGTCCGTGTGTTGTTGTAAGCTACCATTCAGCTGAAGTCATTACTACTTACTACAGCTTTTGTATTTCTAAGTGAGATTAAATCACCCTCTGTGAGAATGTCTGGAAAGAGTAGTCTTAAACTAGTCAGATCAGAAGTCATGAAGAGTAGTCTTATGGGATTTCAATATAAAGTATATGGAGATTTGCATGTGCTAGTGCTGATGACTTCCTTTACAAAAGTCGCCCAGCAGCTTAATCTTGTCCAGGATAATTTGGGGACTGAAGCACAGATGAAATCTTTTGACAGTAATGGGATGTCAACTCTCAGAAAAGCTTACATGGTTACTATGGAAATTCATCCAGACGTTGCCCAGAGAAAGTTCCTTAAAATGGTTAACGGATCAAATGTTTTGCGCAATAACTCGAGTTATTGAGCGGCCTAGCTTAGGCTTCTGTGCTGCTGTATCCCTCTGTTAAGTACTACTCTATTTCTTTGTTAAACGGAAAAAGACGCATCAAGTCCTCAGATAGATTTACTCGAGCATGTTATCTATCGGACATGAAAGATTGATCAGGTTCCTTTCAATTTAATCAATTATAATGCCTATCAATTTTGCATCACATCCGTCTTATCCTGTTCCACATGTGAGTCTTTGTAAAAGTAATTTTTCTTTTCCCTTAATGCACAAGAAAGAGAATGATAAACTCATCCCATCATGCCGCATTCATCAAATCATTATAGCCTTTGTGCATGGCACACATCATATGTGATGCTTTTCTTTGTGTATATATAGGTATAGTAGTAAGCAAGTTCTTCGAATTATCAACTATTCACACACAGAGGACTGAAAAATTACACCTAGACCAACTATGCCGGAAGGCCTAGATCAGTTGCTACCCCTCCTCCAACAACCAAAAACCCGGAGCCAGAAGGCCCTGAGAAAAACCCTGAAAGGCACAGCAACTCTCTCCAATCTCCTTCCCACAGGCACAACCTTCGCCTTCTCGCTTCTCTCTCCAGTTTTCACTAACAAAGGCCAATGCATCAGCTTTCTCAATCACATCCTCACCATAAGCCTCCTTGCAGTCTCTGCGATTGTGTGTTCCCTTTTATGCTTCACCGACAGTGTTAGGGACCCAAAAGGCAAGGTCCGGTATGGATTCGCCACGACTAAAGGGCTGTGGGTGATTGCTGCAACGGTGAAGCTCTCAGATGCTGATGCAAAGAAATATAAGTTGAAGGTGATCGACTTTTTGCACGCATTCATGTCGGTGCTGGTCTTTGCAGTGGTCGCATTTTTCGATCAGAATGTGATCAAGTGCTTCTTCCCAGTGGAGTCGGAGCTGGCCAAGTGGCTCCTAGAGGTCATGCCTTTGGCAGTCGGAGGTGTTTGTACCGGTTTCTTTTTGCTGTATCCAACCACGCGCCATGGAATTGGCTTTCCTCTTTCACGTGAGAAGTAGAACCAGCAACAATAACATCAAAGCACATTCGATGCCTCACGATGTGTGCACGTCTTGTACCTTACTCCGTGCTTCATTTGTGATCTATGTATCCCATAATATGTATGTATCACTTCGAAAATTTGGTGCTTCTCTTTTATACGTACAATGCAATGCAGCAGAGGAAGAATGAAGTTGGAGGGTATACTTAGCAAGAACTGAGTCACCATATGTAATCTTTCATCAACTCCACGGGGGAAATTTACGATGACAACCCGACTACCCAGCTATATTCTTAAACAAAAATAGCTGCGTCTAAATTAATGTGTCCTGATCATCCTGGCAATCTCACGCTTATCTCTAGTCACATTTTGATAGATTAAGCCTAACAGAAGCGTGATCTGCAACTTGACCATAATTTGCACTGTAAACTCGTTTGCTGCTAATTCCATCGCCCAACCGAACTTCTCAGACATGAACTGAGCTGAGGTTTGAATTACCACAAAGACAGTGAGCAAGCAATGAAGTTTCTTGTTTTTCGCTCAATGAAAACGAAGTGAGCAAGGCAAAGAAGCTTTTAGTTTTCTTGCAATTATCATTGTCGCCAACAACATCAAGGGGGATCAAAGGATCTCGCAGCTTCTTTCCTGTTCTTTGTCCAGCAAAGCTCTTGGACATCCTTCCAATTGGTAACCAAAATCCATCGAGGGACGCTCGCAACATAACATATTCAGTTCATATCATGTAACCATTTACCAGAGTTCATCTTCATTCCTCAAATTTTGAATCCGACTAATACCTCTCTTTTTGCTAAACACAAGGACTGATACAGTTACAAGGAACATGCCATCCTCACTATCAACAGATTGTCCTGGTATCAGCGATTTAAGTTATACATCGAAACATAACACATTGTTACATACATACAGGTAACAGCATCAACCGACGGGGTGCTAATCTGCTTGAATCTGCAGATATCGCCTCTAAGACAACCAAAACTATCACTTTGTTTAAAGAACCTGCCTGTAACTCTCAATTAGGACCGTAATTTAAGTATAACAATAAACTAAACCCCAAATTGCTGCCAGAAAGATCCCATGCAATTTCTCTGACCTTGCAAAACCAAGCAACTGGACCAAATATTCACATTAGCTCGTCGGGACTCCATTTGCATCTTCTCAAGCAACCAAAAGTTTCTTGATTCCAGCCTTCTGCTCTGATGTCAGCCTCGTTGGGAACTTGATGTTGAACTTGATCCTCAAGTTACCCTTCTTTATCGGGTCCTTCTGGAGAGGCATCCCCTCCCTCGGAACTACCTCCTCATAGTTTGGATGGATCACATTGCTGATAGGGATGGTCAAACTCCTGCCATCTAACGTTGTGAGATGGACCGTGAGACCTGTTAAGGCCTCGGCCAGGGATATGGTTTTTGTGACGATCAAGTCATTTCCATCGCGAGTGAACACACTGTGAGGCTTCTCGTCAATTATGAAGACGAGATCAGCCGGTATGACGTTTGGCTGCTCATTGCCTTTCTCAGGGAAGGTAATTTTGGTTCCCTTCTTCCAACCTGGCTTTATGTCAATGGTTAATATCTCCTCTACCGGCATAGTTCTTCTGCATCAATCCATAACATGCAAAAGTCAGAAGGATAGATCATGGAAAAAAACACCAAGATAATGTGGATCATGCAAAATCAAAGTGTTTGCCTAAGTTCAAGACCTTTACAGAATGAAAGGCCAAATCCCTGAAAAATCATCATACAGGGAGCTCATAAACCTTACACATTTCCAATATCACATGGTCCACATTTAAAAACCTAAGAAGAAATTATTTTTTGGGTGCAGGAGTAGACATGCAACGAACCCTATTCGGAGCTGAACATGCGACATCTAATTTCAGAATATCCATATACTCAGCATGTGATGCAATACTCTTCCATAAGTTTAGATCAAAAGTTGATAAGTTGCCAGCTTTCAAAATTCATAGTCCCAGTTAATCTAACATGGTATATAAGCCTCTAGCTGAGGAAAAAAGACTGCAATACTTCCTTTTAAACATTCCCAACAAATCCTCATGCGTCTGCATGCACAAATGATTGTGTGTCATGAATATGCCAGTAAACCAAACAACCACCAGTAACTCCTCCTGCACAAATTCTGCTTTATTCAGGGTATTTAATTATATTGACATAACCAACAGATGCACAGTTTTTTGTTTGCGAATATCGTGCCATATTCATATCATATAATTGCATTAAATGCAGACATTCCTGCAAAGAGTTAAGAGGGGCAAAAGGAGAATGTGCCACTCAGCAGTCGCCATATTATTCTTTTCAATGATGTGTGCTCATTCCTAAAGACAGGATGTCTTTGGCTGCACACCAATTTAACTAGTTCTCAACTATACGGCATCATATCGGCAGCGTATTCAATACCAATCCATAAAAGAAAGTTCATCGGACAACAAGAGATGCAGCTCCATGCTAGAATGATGACCAATAATCATCGAAACCCACACGTCCACACTGCATATCCATGGCAAAGCACCTGTAGGAAATGTGGCTTTACCTGTATATTACCTAGATACAACTCTGTACAGTGGCATAGAAAACATGGACTATCTACAGAAGGTGCATAAACCAATACAGCGATATTTCAAATTATATCAAAATTACAGCTTTTCAGCCAAAAACTTCTTTATGATGTCACTGAAGACAAAGTCCTACAACTCGAGGATTAATCCTGCCAAGGTTCCCAGTCACCCAATATGTAAGATAGTATTTAACAGAAACTGTTAGATGAACCCAAGCAATCATTTGTGGGTTACACCAAGCTGCATCGTCTCAGCTGTAAAGAAGGAATAAAGTAGGCTAACCAACACAATGATCGGCCCAAAGGAATAAAGTAGGCTAACCAACAAAATGATCAGCCCCGACACAACCACATAAATTTTAGGTACCCCGAGGGCATGAGGCTAACAAGGACAAAGGCACAAAGTTGTCTCCATTATCGATTCTTTCCCTATTGAGCCCATTGTCTAGTTCTTAGTTCTATCCAAAAAGACGAACGAGTAACACTAGACATTTAATGCATTCCCAAAATAGTTTCCGGCTTTCAGTCATATTCTCTCACCCAATACTGACCCAAAACTCGTGGATTTCTGGTGAACAAAGAAAAGTACACTTTTGACAAACTAACAACTACTTTCTTTAAATGAGATAGCCTCTCAGACTTACCCGCTCATGTCAGCAATCTCCCGGGAGATCTTCATTTTCTTGGTAGTCCCTTTGTAAAGATCCTCTAGACTACAGGGCAACCTGTTCTCAATAGGAGGAGCTTTCCTGGGAGCTGCTTGGTACATTGACCCTCCTCCACCTCCTCCTTCTCCATAGGAGCCAAAGAAATCATCCCCAAATATACTGCTCGAGAACCTTGACCCTCTCATTCCACCACCGCTGCCGCCACCCATCCCTCCCGTGCCGCCGTAGGGGGTGCTCGAGAACCCGAAAAACTCAGCAAAGATATCGTCTGCATTTCGGGGGTTGAACCGGAACGCCGTTGGCCCATCTCCTGTCGAGAAGTAGGTAGCACCGCCAGGGCCACCGGCATCAGGCGGCGGCACTTGACCCTTCAGACCCTCCTCGCCATACTGATCATACACCGCTCTCTTCTGGGGGTCACTGAGGACCTACAAGCAATTCAATTGAAACAACACCATCTCAAGCTCAAAATTGTCATTACCGTGCAAAACCATCAAAAGCAACAACATCAATTGTCCGGGTGCATGAACCATACTGTCAGATTTTCAAACCTAGAACGAAATTCGCACAGAGAAAGACTTCAAATGCCAACTTCAGTCAATCCCATCAGAAGCGTACAAGATTAACTTCGAATCGGACGCCGACACCAAATAAAAAAAAAAAATCCACCAATCAAATAGAGGGAAAAAAGAACTCGCTCGAATCGAAACGAAGCAAACAAAACAAGAACGGGCAACATGGCAAGAAACGAAGTTTGCCGCACCTCGTAAGCCTCGGAGATCTGCTTGAACTTGGCCTCGGCTTCTTTCTTGTTGCTGGGGTTCTTGTCGGGGTGCCACTTCATGGCCAGCTTCCTGTAGGCCTTCTTCAAGTCGTCGTCTGTGGAGCTCCTATCCACCCCCAACATCTTGTAGTAATCTAACCCCATTTCTCCAACCCACCAACACCCGCACCAACACCAATCCCCTTGAATCTGCACCGAGCTAAGCCTCCGCAGAACGAAGAGACCAAAGACAAACAAAAAAAGGAAAGAAAGAAAGAAAGGAAAAGGTCGTAGCTTTGAATTCAGTCGAAATCTGTACACAGTACACACTTCTGCTATGGTGGTGGTGGTGGTGGTGGTGGTGATTTTGTGTAGTAAAATATTGTGTCGGGCTCGTACCTGTTGCGGTGGAGCTCAGGATTCCGTCGGGTGATGGATGAATTGAGAATCCGGTGGAAGCTTCCAGAACCCCGCCCTCCCCGATCGGCTGCCGTCACCAGGGTCTCTCGATCTTGCCGGTCACCGTCCGATGGGTCTTTGCATTCCTATCCAATAAACCATAAATATTCCGAGCGAAAAGAGGAGGTACACGTGGTGGTACACGTGGCTCTAGCTTCCAGTAGATACCAATCAGTGATCACTCGCGTCTGTCTTGGTGCATGCCCCCGGCGGCTAGGCTCTTCACTTCACGACCCTCCCTCGATTTTGCATCATGCATGGAAGGGGATGGAAAGAGCGATCCATGTCCGAGCAGAAGAGGCCACTGATTTTCGCTTTTCTTTGTACGAAACAGTGCAGTAAAATGTTACCTCAGCTTAGACCCGACCAGTTCGCACGTTTCTGTACACGAATCTTTGTCCTAGCTTTAGCTGATAATCTTTCTAGAGGTCGATCATCGTCTTCAGGCTGCGGTTTCCCGAAAAACCATGTCCTAAAATGTAGCAAGAAGAGCAAATCCTGAACCGTCGCACCACTTTGGGCTGAGTAAGTAAGGAACCCTTTGTCCTTGCTCTACTTCTCCTTCTACCGTTTGTTCATGTAGATATGGTATTGACTGATTCCAAAAGGAGAAGAGCTAAGCACAGACATTGTCACGAGCATGTTCATAGGTCCTCTTTGCCATTTACTACGCTGATCTATATATGCATCGCAAATCCAACATATTCATTGGAATGAAGTTTATTAGTGCTCTCGGAAGAAGATCGCGTCGTCCGTCCACCTAATCAATCACTGGGTATATAATGTCGAGCCCATCACATTTTTTGGGTGGAAGACACCACGGTGCATAATATTTTGCATTCTGTCACTAATTAGATTAATAGACGACATGTATGGTATGCTCAGAGCATCTAAATACCTCCCTGAATCTGTTCCGATCCTTATCAACACTTCAACTATGCGTGGCAGGGCATTAGATACATAGAGGATATCTGGCTTTTTCTACTCTCGAGTATTAAAAAGTCCCAATTTCTTTTCTTTTTTTTTTTTTTCGTTTTTATGATGGTCATTTTTCCTTGTACATACAGTTATCGCTCTCTAGTCTTAGTCTAGGACGTCCATACATGCCTTTCAAAAAATGAACATTTCATACGCTCTTCTAAAAGTAAACCCACGTAGGCGGACTTTAATCATAATTAGCATTTTAGCAAAATAGATCTTTAAATGGGAAAATTATCAAAAAAGTCCTAAGCCCATTGCATTTGTACAATTCAGTGATAAATCTTTCAAGTATATCAACTGAGTCTTAAACCGAAAATTTGTTAATTTAATCATTCCGATCAATTTTAGTCGGAAATTGCTAACGCGGACGCTGATCATCCCCTGTGACACGACCAACGCTAACGTGGATAATATTTTTCTTCTTTTCTTTCTTTGTTTTTTTTCCTCTGCCAATCGCCAGGCCTTGGCGACCGACTATAGGAGAGGGCTGGCCTCGCTAGACTCAAGCATGGCTCAAGCTTGTCAGATACTGGTGAGGTCGAGCTCGCCTAAGGCTGATGAGGTTTTTTTTTTTTTTTTTTGGTAACCGAGGATCCGCCATCATTCCCCGGGGATGAGCCCGCACAGGTAATCGGGGCGCCTATACCTCGGGGGAGACTAGCCCAGCAACCCATCGCCAGCCCCCCCCCCCCCACTTAAATTACCTAAGGCCGATGAGGTTGAGCCTCGCCTAATCCCAGAAAGCTCCAACTCGCCAAGTCCCCACGAGATTGAGCTCCCTCAAGTCCGGGGAGGCTCAAGCTCACTTGAGACTAGTGAGGTTGAGCCTGCCTCTGATCCCAGCAAGCTCGAGCATCACTTGGCCTCGCTAGCCTAGGGCAAGAACGAGCCTCGCCCGAAGCGGGGGAGGTTGACTGTCACCTGTGGCTTGTTGCCGGCCATTGCCGAGGCTTAGTGATCAACAGAAGAAGAAGGAAAAAGCAAAAAAGAAAAAGCAAAAACGAAAAAAAAACATATAAAAAATTTTGGAAATTTTTGTAAAAATTGTCTACGTCAGCATCGGTCATGCCACATAGGACGGTTAGCATCCACATCAGTAAGTTTTGGCCAAAAGATCTAAATTGACAAATTGTCAAAAGGTTTAGACTCAATTGGCACAATTAAAATGTTTTTTACTTAATTGGCACAAGTATAATAGGTTTAGGAATTTTTTGATAATTTCATGTCCACGTCATGGAAGATTGACTAGATCTTTTAGTCGATCTAAAAGAATCTCGGTACGATCAATCTTAGGTTTGTTGGCTCATTAATGGCATTTTGAACTATATAGAGGGCTTAACGCGCGAGAAGCCTCAGGCCAAAACCCATAGGTCAAGACTAATCTTTGTGATTACTTTTGCAGGACCACGCTCTCGTCTCTCTTCCCTTTTCTAATTTTCGTGAGGAAGATGGACCGAGTGAGGGAGAAATAAAAATTGCTATATAAACTGGGTAAAAAGTTTTTGTTCTAGCGATTCTGCCTCTAGATCAGTGGAAAATGGAAATTGAATAATGGGAAACAAAAAATATGTTGTCGAAGTGAATGTCTGGACTTCTTTTTTTCATATGAGTTATATTGGTATTAAAAAGATTCACTTTATATATACATTTCTTTTTGTTCCACCTTGTTGCGACTAAATCATACTCAAGTTTATCACAAAAAGAAAATGAAAAAAATGGCATGTAAATCAAGACTGCAATTGGGCCTGGGTTGGACTGAACTTCTAATGATATTATGGACCTAGAAATGTTTTGGGCTAAGCCCTAAGCTAGTGAACATTCTATTTTACTCTAAAGAATGAAGGCTTTTGTTCGCAATTACCACACCTTAATAACTGTTAAGCAAATTTATTTAATGAAAAAAAGCCCGTTAGAAAAACATAATCTAGCCCAAACGAAGGAGGCATTAACAATTTCTGATGTTCTTTTCTTTTGTTGAAAGAAGATCTGAATTGGGTATAGACGAATAGTGCTACAGACACAAAGTATGCTGATTGACATGAAGAAAGATTAAGTGGCTATGAGTAATTTGTCGTGGTTATGGACATTCTACGAATAAAGTTCGTGCATTTTCGGTGCATAACCACACTTTCACGTGAGCCCAATAGCATGTTATGCTACAGAATTAGAAGAACCAAAATGACATGGTGGAAATGAAAAGCACGAGTCGCAACTCACAAGCACGCACGCCCATAGCGCAAAGAGAAGTCTCCAGATTTTTTATATTGATTGCTGAAAAGAGGGCTAACTGAGAGCTATGACAAAGTATACATTACAAATACTGTTGCAACCTTAACCCTAGGAATTACTAAACAAGAAAGTAACAGGACAAGGAAACAAGGAGACGATAATAAAACCATAGACAAAGCTAAAGAACAACTAAATCCCTCGGGTTCTTCCAACCAAAGATAAGATGCCTTAAGAAATCTCAAAACTTAGAATAATGGAGACAATGGATTCAAATTTCCTATACTTTATAAACATCCCAAACTAAATTAATAGAATAAAATAACCAATTTCCAAGAATCTAAATTGATCGAATAAATTAAGGAGTAAATTCAATTTGGAAGCACTCCACACGACCAAATGTCTCGAGTCACCGATTAACTTTAAAAGATTGTCACTTGCTAGCTCTTTTCAATTCTCGTGTCTAAACCAATGATACTAGATTGATTTGCAAAATCGACACACTATATATTTACGAATATTGGGTGCAACTTGTTTATTAACATTTACTCATAACTCGTCACATAAAATACCATAACCGTTCTATAAAAATCACAGTCCTAAACACCATCAAAGCTTTGACGAGCCACTCGAGTCAAACTGAACCTCCCTTTGCTCGAGAAGAGAAGACCCACGAAAAGTCATCTCCGATGTGCTGTGGAAACCTGCCCCCACAAAGGGAAAGCTGAGAAAGAGAACAAGCGTTTGAGGATGACGCATAAACTAAGGGTGCGAATGGTAACCATTCTGCTCCAGAAATCAAATTCTTACCAGAAATTGATTTCTAGAATTCTTGCCAGAATTTGATTTCTGGAGGAGAAATCTATTTGGTAAAACATGACTAATTCTGTTCCAGAAATTGATTTCTGGAACAGAAATCTGTTTTGATTTGTTGATTTTTTTTGCACCTAAAAAAATTAAAATTTTACTCAAAGTGGGTGGCCACATGTATTATAAGCCATTCTGTAAAGTTTTGAAATTTTTGATTTTTTTTGGGCACCTAAAAAAATTTAAATTTCACTCAAAGAGGGTGGCCACAGGTATTCTAAGCCATTTTGTGAAGTTTTGAATTGTTTTATTTTTTTTTATTTTTTTGGGCACCTCAAAAAATTTAAATTTTACTCAAAGTGGGTGGCTACAGATATTCTAAGCCATTCTGTGAAGTTTTGAAATTTTTTACTTTTTTTTATTTTTTTGGGCACCTCAAAAAATTTAAATTTCACTCAAAGTGAGTGGCCACTGGTATTTTAAGCCATTTTGTGAAGTTTTGAAAATTTTTATTTTTTTATTATTTTTATTTTTTTTGGCACCTCAAAAAATTTAAATTTCACTCAAAGTAGGTGGCTACAGGTATTTTAAGCCATTTTGTGAAGTTTTGAAATTTTTGATTTTTTTTTGGGCACCTCAAAAAATTTAAATTTCACTAAAAGTGGGTGGCCACATGTGTTTTAAGCTATTCTGTGAAGTTTTGAAATTTTTGATTTTTGATTTTATTTTTAAAAAAAAATTTACCAAATTTCATATTTTCCCGAAATCTGACTTTTTTTTTGTTTTCCGGAAATTTTTATGAATTTTTCTAGAATTTTTCAATTTTTATGCATTTTCTGAAAAAAAAATTATGAGAAAATAGGGAGAATGCATTTCGGAATCAAGAAGCTATACAAAGTAGCTTCTCTTTTTCTTGCCAAAAACTCATTCCGGAATCAAAAATGCATTCTGGAATCAAGAATGCATTCTGGAATCAAGTATTTTTAACAAACGCATTTTTATTCCAGAATGCAAAAATCGCTCCGGAATGCATTCCGGAAATTTTTTAACAAA